CCTGGGCGGAGCCCTGACAGTGTCTCTGCAGACACCTTCCTGATCCCTTCAAGTCAGGCTGAGGGAGGCATCCTTGGGTTCATCCCTCTCCCCAAGCTTAGTAGGTAGAGTCGATGGTTGAGTCTTAGCTTCCTTAGTCTTTGGAATTTTTATTCTAAATGACAGTTGAGGAAATGATGGTTTCAGCTACAGTAAACAGCCACAAATTCAGATATTCGGTTGGCAGGCTTTCCTCTCTGCCTCTCTCAGGGAATATCAGTCTCCAGTAAGGAAACAGACTTAAAAAATAGCATATATTCCAAGTAGCAATTGAAAGGAAAGTAACAATGCAGTAAATGTTCTGAGCCTCATGTCTAAGCACCAAGCCACCACATCATGGTTCTTATTTTCTCACAGGTGTGTAATCCGTCTGCACCTACAGTACCAGCAGGAGCTGTTGGTGTAGACCACACTCGACTTCACTGCCCAACCCTAACTCCAAAAGGAAGAATGAAAAAAGGGAGGAGAACTCTCTGTCCCTGTGGAGCAGAGGCAGGTGGGGTGGGGAGTGAGAGAGGAAGAGAATGACAAGGTGGGCTCCCCGAGAGGGGCCACTGCACCAACCTAGGAGCCTCCCTTAGTGAACACGAGGAAGATGGGAGCAGCTGGGGTTTATGGAGCCTGCACTGTGCTCCAAGCTCTGTTCTAAGGGCTTCTTAGTGAGGTAACTCATTTAAACCTCACAGTGATGCTGTAAGTGAGGAAGCAGGAACTTGCTGGAGGTCACACCACTAGTAAGTGGCAGAGCTGGGATTCGAACCCGGGCCTGCTGGCTCCTGAGCTGGACTGCAGTGCTCAGCTGGATTTGGCGTCTATTATGTATGCAGTTCTTCCTCTTGAGTCTAAATTATGTGAAATCCACCTTTATCCTCTGAGTAGAGCTACCTTGCTTTCTTCTTTTATTTTAACTGATTTTTAATTATTCATGTAATTCACCAGTATATGTGAAAAGTCTAAGTTAAAGCATCACAGATGAGAGATCAGGAAAGTCACAGTTTCCTTTGACCAGCACCCCTGAACTCCTGTTCTCTCCCTGTTAGCACGCTTGCAGGTGTAGTTTACTGTGTATCATTTCAGGTCTTTAGAAGTACATTTAGATGCTTATTCTGTATTCTTTGAAAATATATGGTAGTATTTTTACTTTTTATTTAAAAAGGAAAACATATTAATTGTACGATACCATAGTTCAGATGTTCCCCAACTTTCTTGGTTTATGGCTCCCTTAGTATCTTAATAATTATCTCCTGGGGCCCTGGGTCAAAAGAATATCTAACAGTTCCATCTAATAAGAGTTAGACCCAAGCAAGTTAATGAGTGTTTATGTCCTTTGCATCTAATAAGAGTTAGACCCAAGCAAGTTAATGAGTGTTTATGTCCTGACATAGCCATTATGGCCTTAGTAGCCGTTTGAAACATTACACACATGAAAATAGTATTTTCAGCTCATTGTTAACCACAGTTACTTGCTAAGGGGAGGTGTGTGCCTGTTGGGCGTCCCATGGCTTCTCAGACCCTGGGATCGGATCAGACACTGCCGCACCCATTGCCTGTTCCACACCTGTTTTTGCGAGGTGCTTACTTTTCATCACAGCAACCACTAGAAACCTAGCTTTGCAAAAAGTATGACATCAGAAGGAATATCGCATGACCTAACATTGGAACCGTGAACGTCCTCCAGCTCATGCTTCTCCCGGTGTCCGACAGTGGTCTAGTCTCGCTGTTTCCCTGGGGCACTTCAGTGCGTGATGTGGGAACTAACTGCAGCCATCATTATACATTGTGCACCTCACCTTTTTTATCCCAGTGTGCCTTGGAGATCTAACCGTGTTACACATGAAGATCTACCTCATATAAGACACTGCTGCAGAATCATCCAGAATGTGAACTGACCACAGTTTGCTTACCATTTTCCTGATGATGACCATTAATGTTATTTCTAGTATTTTATAATTTTATATAATATCGCAATAGAAATCCTGTTGCATTCCTCTTTGTTTACATGGGCAAATTAGATAATAAAGGAATTGCTGGGACATAGACCAGTCAGGTTTTTAAATGTTAATACATACTAACAGCTTGAGTTTTAACCTCTTTGAAGAAATGATTTCGTATAGCCCATTGAAACCTGGTTACTACTGGCTCATTTTCCTCAGGGCTCTATACCCCGTAACTATCCCACTGGGGAAGAATGGCTGTCCTAGAGAAGCATGTCGTGATCACACTGTGGATGTAGGTAATTGAGACGCTCGAGGTCTGGGAGGCAAGAGCAGGATGTGAATAGGCCGAGAGGGGAAGGAAAGTCGGAACGGATCACAAACTGCAGGAGTATTTCATAGGACAACGAGGAGGCCAGTTCATGTAGGGGAGACAATTGATTTAGGGCACAGATGGTAAATACCTTGCAGCCATGACATAAATATTTCCTACCCCTCCATACAGACACAGCCAGTCCCTCAAGACGTGGCAGACACAGCCAGTCCATCAAGACGTGGCAGGCACAGCCAGTCCCTCTTGGCTCTCATTCCCACCGAGCCTTCACCCAGTCTTGGAATCCTCCACACAGCCCTGGCAGAGGGCCCCTGACTAACTGGTGTGGGCACACAAATGAAACTCACCTGTCATCCCTGGAGGCAGAGAGAAGGTGGAGAGGTAGGTTGAAGTTAGGCAGAGAAGGCTAAGGAGTTCAAAGGATGCCAAGCAAAGAGAATTTGGAAAACATTTATATTTCAGACTTTATTGGCAAGATGACTGGTGGTCCTCCTCTGTGAGACAATAACAATAGGCATTGATCTCTGGCTGCTATTTGTTTTCTCCCCTTAGTTCTAAATTATCCTATTTATTTATTTCTAGAAAAGTAATTTCATCACCAGAGGCCCCTTTTATTATTCTTCTCCGCGAGTCCCATATATTGAAAGATGTGGTCTCCCAATTAAACTGTACTTATTAAATAACAATAACAGCGTCAGCAAACAAGTGTTGATTATTTTTCACATGCCAGTGTCTTAACATTTGTTAACTTTTAACATCCTCACAAAAGCCCTACGAGGTAGGTACAATTACTATTCCCATTTTATCATTGTGGAAATTGAGATGCAGAGAGGTTAAACATTTTTCACAAGGTGGTATAGCTGGTAAGTGGTATAATCAGTATATTTTCCACTGTTTGATTATAACTGTGTAAAGACCAGGCATCGTTTCTGATTAGAAGGAATAACCAAAAGTAGAGTAGTGGTTTCCAGGGGCCAAGAGGAAGGGGAGACTGGGGAGTTATTGTTTAATAGGTGTAGAGTTTACATTTTACAAGATGAAAAGAGTTCTGGAGATGGATGGTGGTGATGGTAGCACACCGTTATGAATCTATTTATTCACTCAACTATGCGCTTAAAAATTGTTAAGATGGTGAATTTCATGTTATCTGTATTTTACCACATTTAATAAAAATGGGGAAAAAAGGAGATAAGCAGGGTCCCCAAAATGAGTTGATATAATTTTGGCCAGAAGCAAAGAAATTGCTATTTTAGTTTGTGCAACATGTCAGGGGTTAATGTATAGTTTTCTGTTAGATTCTCCATTGTGTTGAAATAGTTAAAAGACCCCCCATTCTTGTTTTCAAAGACTGAAGAGATCTGACACCCTGGATTGGAAACTACCGATTTGACCACTTAACTTTCATTTCCTGGGAAAAAGGGCACGTTCAGCGAGGAAAATAATACGTTTTAGAGCTAGCCGAGCCATCCAGATGCCACATGGGCAAGGTCACGGGCCTGTGTTCTGGAATCGCACTGCACGCTGGCTTCCACATTTATTCACTGGGGACCTTAGGCGAGCTGTGTAACATCCTGAGCCCAGATTTCTCATCTGTAAATGGGATGGTGGTGACAGCCCGTGGAAACTCATGGAACAGCACCGGGCACTTAGTAGGCACTCAGCCAGTCCTAGTTCTTAAACTTTATGGTTATGCATTTACATCAAACAATGGGGATCAGACAGACCCTTGAGCTTACTGGATGACGCAAATGAGACAGAATGAGGTATAAGCGCTCCCCTGATGGTAAGTTACCCCCTCTCCTTTCCTCTCTGTATCAAGCAGGAAAGGGGGGCCCCATAAGTGAGGGCTCCCTGACATCTTGATGGATACCTAGTGGCACCCCTCTTATCGTCTTTATAAACTTCAGTTGTATAAACACTTCCCAACTTCCCCTAAGCAGCTTCAGGGACATGATGGTTAGTGACATCAAAAGCTGCCTGGCTTTCTGCATGCTGAAGTGACCTTCACACGTGGTGTGGAGAGAGCTGACCACTTGGGCCAGCATGGCATCTGCTTCAAACGCCTGTTAGTAACGCGATTCTGAGCTTCCCAGGTCTTAGGGCTTCTTTGTTTTGTGACGGAGCTAATTTTTCTTCTTGATGACCTCAGTCCTCTGAAATTAGATATTTCAAAATCATTTGTTCCTCCTGACTTTAGAGGAAGAAATACCTCTTTGTGACGGGGCTAATGCTGGCTTGGCCCACCATTAATCTGAAAGGAGGCTGCCCAGAAGGGGAGCAGGGTGCTCATGCTGTCTTGGACTGTGACTCTTTGAGGTCATGGATGTCAAAATCTTTAGCCATCTGCAGCTTGCTCAGAGCAATGGAGCTCAAAGAATCACCTAGGAGTCAACTGAAGCCTCTAGAACCTCCCGTTTCAGTGTGTGATCTCTCCCTTATGCTTCTCTCCCAGCAATGGTGTGACTCAACTACTCCTCAGTGTTGGTTCTCTGTAATTTATACCCTTGCCTGTGGTGTTATTATTGCCAAATTGTTCATGTTGATCTTCAGAGGGTGGAACCCTGAGGAATGTCTATGGGAACCAAAGTTGTACTTTGGAGAAAGAATATCTTTGTTAAATTCCTGTTAGTTATTAGGTATGCATCATATGGTCCAGCCATCTGACCCAGAATCTCCGCTTTTTTTCTCCCCAGCACTGGCTTGAACCTAACAAGTCCATCTTCAAGCAAATGAAATGTAAGTGTTGACCTGTGGGTTCACTTTTGTATGAAATGTCCAAAGATAGATTCTGTTTCTTGACAAAGTTTCTCCTGCCAGGGAGGAAATGGATGGAGTTGAAGATGTGTGGGAGGGTGGGGGCTTCTCTCTCCCGTGAGAGCTCTGTAACTTCTCTCTTATTTGCTGGCTTGGGTCCTTCTTACAGTCACTCTTCCTATAGCCTCCTGTGTCTCCCCCTCCCCATCATCTTACCCTCCTATTTCATTTTCAAAGAGGGGCAGTGGAATTAGATGGTTAAGTATCTGGTAACATAATCACCAGATGCCTGGTTCCTTTCGATTGTGGGAGTTGTTACAGTAAATGGTTCAGGGTGGGAGGTACAGTCTTGAGGGGATGAATGAAGTAGGTATATTTCAAAACTAGAATCTTGCTGGTCACTTTACTAAAGATTGCGTCATTCTTTTCCATCTCTCAAACTCCCTAAAATAAATATATTTTCTGGGTAATCGTTTTCAAGCTCTGGTGTTTTGAACTGCTTATTTTTTCCTGATGAGCTCTTGGCGAAGTCCTCCTAGAAAACATCTCCGTAAAATATGTGGTCATCCCCTTGGGGCATTGTGAGGAGGGTGTTGACTGATGGCCCTGAGCAGCATGATGTTTTGCCCTGGTCACCATGCCAGGCTGTAGTCAACCTGTGTTTGTTTCTGGATTGGAGGAGAGCTCCTGAAATGCACCTCAGAAATTCACTGCCTGCCCTGAAATCCATCTATCCCTCATGTTGACTTTCCCAGGGTTCTGAAAAATAGGTGATAAATGAGTTTCTCATCAGAGATCAGGTTAGAGCATATTATGTCACTTTTCATTCAAGGGACTCTTCTTTTTCAAATATGAAGAAATTATTTCTGGGCAGGCTTTTTAAGTGGGAGAAGGAAGAAACTGAACATGGATGGCAAGCTAGCAACCAACTTATCTATCCCTAAACTTTCTTCTTTTCTCTCCTCCCCCTCCCTTTCCCTCTTTCCCTCTGTCCCTCCTCCCTCCCTCCTCTGTCCCCTCCTACTCCTCCCCCTTCCTTCCCCCACCCCTCAAGAGCAGACTCTGTCTGGCCAGTGCGGGGAAGTCAACGGGTTGTTCTGGGGCAGGCTAACCCAGGGCTGCTGTAGGCGATGGGTGCTGCAGGGAGAGGGCGGAAAGATGTGTGAGGTGAAAACAGGGGCAGCATTGCGTGTGGGAGGTCCAGAGAGGTCAGGCTCTTGGGGTGAGGCTGGAATAGAGTAGGGACAAGCATCCAAGAGGAAGTAGCAGGACGGAGGTCTCAGGAGGCTCTGTGTAGAACGATATGCAGGATAATGAGAATCAACGAACATGCCTGAGAAAAAATAGCTGGTGCCTAGCTTTATCCCTTATCTACCAAGTTTTAATATTTTTGTTTAAATATTTAAAAATATTTGGACAATTTTCCAGTAAACTTCTTTATAGTAAATGGTTCTTTGACTTTGGTTCTTAAATGTCATGGACTTTTTTTTTTAGGCCACATGCATTTTTGAAATATAAACTTATCTTGAAACCAAGATTCATTTCAATACTTAATAGAAGAAAAAATTTAAAATTTGTGGAGAATTTCCTTCTTAAGAGCTTTGCCTCTACAATTAGTAAATCTGAACAACCAATGTAAATTTCATAATGTTTTGTGAAAGTGGCTTCAAGATTGACCCATGACCCCTGGCCAATTTCAATCTAGTGACAAATGGAATCTGAATCTGGAAAAAAGAATTGTACCGGATTCAATCTCTAAACCAGACAAGGTGACTCACTGATTGTATGAACTGGCAAGCATCTTACCCCTCACCCAGTGCCCTGTTGTTAATGACATTCATGAACAAAAATTATGTAATTTTCTCAAGATCACAAACCTAGTTTTGTTGTTGTTTTTAAGGATGTCTTTTATTATCAAGAATTTCGGTGTTCTTGTACGTGTGTCCTGGAAATATTAACTTTAATTTAAAGTACAAAAAATAAATAAATAAATAAGCTAGGGCTTATATATTGTTAACCCAGAGAAACTGGGTCCAACCCCTGGGATTCATCAGTGAATTTACCTAAAGTATGTGGTTACAGAACCCCAGACAGCTTCCTCCTTGGTATGGGGATGTCTTTTATACTCTGACTGCCTTTGAGTAGGCAAGGAAGGTGTAATTCCTTGGAGGAACATTTCTCCGGTTCCCGTCTCACTCGCCAGTGATGACTGACTTTCAGGTCCTTTGTACGACTTTATTAGGATCCCTCTGTCTAGAGGTGTTCCCAGGAATGGTGTTTCCCAGGGTTAGCTGAAGACCAGCTGTCCTGATTAACAAACTCTGTACAAAGGCATTATTATTTCTATCTAGTATTTTTTTAAATAATTTTTTACAGTCACGTGCTGCATAACAACGTTTTGGTCAGTGACGGACAGCATATGAGGTGATGGTCCCTTAAGATTAGTACCATATAGCCTGGGTGTGTAGTAAGCTAGACCGTCTGGGTTTGTGTAAGTACTCTATGATGTTTGCACAATGACAGAATCACCTAACAACACATTTCTCAGAACATATCACTGTCATTAAGGGACAAAGGACTGTAGTATCATGTCCGTGGCGTTTCCAAAAGTTCAGAAAAGTTAAAAATTAAAACCAAAACGATTTCCTTTCTCCTCCCTGTTATATCTCCAAGCCCACTCCAAAGAAATAAGTATTGTTAACAATATTTTACATATCCTTCTGGGAATTTGTATGTATATACAAGCTCCCCCAACATTTCTAAGGCCTTTTTTTTTTTTTTTTGCTGAGGAAGACCGGCTCTGAGCTAACATCTATTGCCAATCCTCCTCCTTTTTTTTTCCCCCCCAAAGCCCCAGTGGATAGTTGTTATGTCATAGCTGCACATCCTTCTAGTTGCTGTATGTGGGACGCGGCCTCAGCGTGGCCGGACAAGCGGTGCGTTGGTGCGCGCCCGGGATCCAAACCCGGGCCACCAGCAGTGGAGCGCGCGCACTTAACCGCTAAGCCACGGGGCCGGCCCTCTAAGGCCTTTTATAAACAAAAATGAGATCAATCTCTATATATTATTATTCACCTGGTTGTTTTTTCTTAATAATTTTAGAGATTTTTCACTATCAATGATTGATGATTGGCCTCATTTTTATAATGGTTTTCTGAAATTTAATTGTATGCATGTATGTAATTTACCTATTAAGGGACATCAATGTTGTTTCTAGTATTTTGCTATTATAAATTATGCTACATTAAACATGCTTGTATGTACATTCTTGCATCTTGTGCAAGTACATCTGTACTAGAAATTCCTAGAAGTGGAATTGTTGGATCAAAAGATATACACGTTACATTTCCTTAGTGATAAATGTCCATCCAAAGAGCTTATAGTAATTTACTCCACTGAGACTACAGGAGAGTACTTGCTTCCCCCAAATCTTGTTGAAGATAGGTATAATCAAACTTATTTTTATGGTGACCTCAAATTTATTAAGGAAAAGAAATACTTTATTGAAAAACTAATTAATTGGACAGCTACTTAATTGGATATAAACTTTAAAGTTGGAAAACTTATTAAACCAAAGTGTTTTCTCCTCTGAACTTAGGAGTCACTTTAAATTTAATTCTTGAATGGACGTATGGTAAAATTGACTTTATTTTGGTGTATAGTTCCATGGATTTTAACAGATAGATAGATTTGTGTAACCACCACCACAGTCAAGATACAGAACAGATCCATCACCTCAAAAATCTCCCTTGTGCTGCCCTTTTGTAGTCACACGTTCTTCCCCTAACCACCAGTGACCAGTGATCTGTTCTCTGTCAGAATAGTTTTGTCTTTTGAGAATGTCATATAAATGGAATCATACGGCATGTCATCTTTTGAGACTGGCTTGTGTAACGCAGCACTGATAACTCTGAGATTCATCTAAGTTGCTATGTTTATCAATACATGATACAGAAAATCAATGAGATTAAAAGTTGGTCTTTGAAAAGATCAAGAAAATTGATGAACCTCTAGCAGGACTGATGAGGAAAAAAAAATAGGAGACACAGATGACCAATATCAAGAACGAAAGGGGCCAGTCCCGTGGCTTAGCGGTTAAGCGTGTGCGCTCCGCTACTGTTGGCCCAGGTTCGGAGCCTGGGCGCGCACTGACGCACCGCTTGTCTGGTCATGCTGAGGCGGCATCCCACATAGAGCAACTAGAAGGATGTGCAACTATGACATACAACTATCTACTGGGGCTTTGGGGAGAAAAAGGAGGAGGATTGGCAATAGATGTTAGCTCAGGGCCGGTCTTCTTCAGCAAAAAGAGGATTGGCATGGATGTTAGCTCAGGGCTGATCTTCCTCACAAAAAAAAAAAAGAAGGAACGAAAGAGGGGATATCACAACAGACCCCACAGAACAACTCTATGTACATAAGATTACCAGCTTAGATGAAATGGGCCAATTCCTCAAAAACCACGAATTACTAAAACTCACCCAAAATGGTATACATAACTTGAATAGTTCTATAACTATTAAAGAAATTAGGTTAAAAACCTTCCAGAAAAGAAATCTTCAACCCCCTGGCTGTCGCAGATGTTGATGCCAAAACCCACTTTTCTGCTCCTCGAGCCTTGACTAGGAGTGTCTCCTGGAGCTTTTTCTGTCCATGTTGACGCCCTTCTAGGTGTCTCTGAGTTCTGTCCAGAGATACCAGAGGGAAAAGCATGGTGAACTCAACACTGGTTCAGTGGTCCTCTGAATTCTTGTCTTCTTTTCTAATCTGCTTGCTGCTATTTACCTTCTAGAGTCCTCAAATAGCTGTGCACATATTCTGTCCAGGTTTTATAGCTGCATTCAGTGAGAGAGACAGGGTGGGATGCAATTAGTCCATCCTACCCAGAACTGGAAACTTGAAATAAATTTTTAACCATTCTTTGTCTACTAGGTGAAAATGAATGTAGGTGACATAATTTGTCTGGGCAGCATTGAGGGAAT